GATCAATACCTCTGGCTCAGCCTTGACTTGGACCGCAAAATGATCTGCCTGCCCAGACTAAATTTATGTTCCAAGAGAGACAGTGACAGTCAGACCCTAGGCCCAGTACAAAACTCCAGCCCAGGGAGCCAAATCACAAAAGGAATCTTTGGCCAAGTGGAGATTTCTATCACGACCAAACAAACTATCCATACAGCAAATGGCCTCAGAGCAGAAGACACTTCTTGAATGAGTCAGATTCTGGCATGGATTCAGCTTTGGGGTCCGTGTTAGAGTCAGATTCGCCAGCCAAGGTGAGTGGAACAGTGGCCCAGGGAATGAAGGTGGCCTTCGGGGGAAACCTGGTTACGAAGTGATGTCAGGGTTCGGTGGGACGCCAGTACCCAGGAAGAAAACCAGCAGCCAGAACCCCAGACACTACTGGAACACAGGTGAGTTTAGCTTCCAGGAAGGGAGCCTCCCACGGATGGTCATTCATTCCCTCAAGAAGAACTAAGACCTCCAGAATGTCAGGTTAGCTGAGGTCCTCTCTCAACAGTCCTGCCAGACACAGGTCAACAGCCCCATTTGATAGAGGAGGGAGCTGAGGCCTAGAAAAGAAGGATTTTGCCTGAGGCCGGGCAGTTAGGGCTGGCCAAGCCAGGATACTCAGCCAGGCTCTGACTCCTTCCCCTGCACTAGGCTGCCTCCCCCGCGGGAATCTGGGAGAAATCAAACAGAAGCTGTATGGGTCTCTGCGCGAGGGGCCAATACTCATTCCTGGGTCCCAGAACTCTCTGAGCACCACTCTGGGATAGGCACTGGGTGGGCACCTGCACACCTTGCTGAACGTAGACGCTTACCCTCGGGCAGTTCCCACGCGGGGCAGGCCGAAAATCGGGCAGGAGCGACCTTTGAGCTCTCTGGGTTGCCCAGTGGGCAGGAAGACACTCGTTTCCCTGACAGCCTTCCCCTCAGCCGAGGGGGAGCTCCAGTCCCGCCAGGACCATGGCCTCCTGTTATCATCTCAGGAAGGGGGAGCTGGGAGAGGGCGGGGGCTCCGCCAATGTCCAGGCAAGGTCAGGGCCGCGTGCAGGAAAGAGTTGGGGAAGCGGTGTGAGCGGGTCGTGGGCCCAAGACTCCGCTGGCGCCAGCACTCCTGCCCCTCCTCTGAGGCCGGCAGTGATGCCCCCCGGGTCCAGCCTCAGGCCTTGAACTCCTCCTCGAGACTCAACGGTCCTGCTCTGCACAAGGGGGGCACGCAAGTTCTATCCATGGAAGGTGGGTGACGGTGGTATAGCCTGAGGCGGGGAAAACAATGCTGCGCCAATCCAGAAACTGAGGCGCTGAGAGGCCAGCTAATCCAAAGACTGGTAATGCAGGTCTCAGCCCAGAGGCCTGTGCACCCCGGAAGGGCTAGGACGGAGGAGAGCGTCGTTTGTGTCTCAGTGCTAGGGCTGGTCATGTGCTTAGGAGGGCGGAGAGGAGGGGCGGGGTGGGAAGAGAGGATTCCAGATCTGCTATTTCCGGCCTTGACGGTGTACAGCTGTTTCTCTAGGCCTCCCGAACCCAGTCTCAAGGGACGCCCTCACCGCAGCGCCGCCACAGCCAAAGCCGCCTCTTCCGGACAAAGACACTTGAATGTGTGCGCTTGCGCAAGCCTCTAGCCTCCTCGGTTTCCCGCCTTTTCCCAGGCATGCGCAGTTCCCACTGCCGCCTCTCTTCCGAGGGGTTGCACCCAGTTTGAGGCTATTGCTATGGCGCTGAGCTTTATGTAACCACCTCTCTTCCGTTCTATCCGGGAGGGAGAGTAACGAGGTAAGAACTCCGAGAAAGAGAGCTATAAGAGAACTAGAAGACAGAGGGCAGGGAAAAGGCGGGAACGAACACACGCACACACACACACACACACACACACACACACACACACACACACACACGACGAAGGAACAACGAA